TACGGAAATATCTGCTAGGTGTGCTACTTATCTTTGTCAACCTGGCAACCATGTGTGCGCGCTCTCTCCACTGTGGATAAACACGCTTGCTTTCTGAAAACACCTGTTAGCTTGCAGTTTAGCGATCTCCACCTCTATATTCTATTCTCAGTGTAATTCATGTAAAAGTGTAATTCATCAAGTGTTCATTTATGAGAGAGCGAGAAAGATCATGTAGCTCTTGAGCGATTAAGCTATTTAGTTGATAAAATTTTGGGGCAGCAGCGCTAAAAAGTTTGTTCCTGAATGTCTGAGTTCGGCCGCAACGTGATCTGTGTGAGTGACTGAGCGTGTGTGTGCGTTAGATACAGAGACAGCGCATTAGTTTAGAACTCCTCTAATTTTTCGTTTTTATTTTTTAATCGTAGAGATTGTGTTAATTTGTCCAATGATAACCGACCCAGCAATGTAAATATGATTTTTAAAATATATTAGAATGAGTACATTACAATATAAATTTATTAGAACGAGTACATTATTATTTATGGGCTTAAAAACAAGATGCAAACAATCAGAATATTGTACCTGGTGGGGAGTGCACAATGTAAACATGAAACATATGCCATTACCTATATTGTACTGTGGTACAGTTATGGAGGCCCTTCATAATGCAGAGGTCAACTGCCTGCTCTGCCAATAGTTAGAAATGGCACTATAGTATGCCGTGTTTAATAAACAGCTGTTTTACTAAATTCTGCTGAAGTGAAAATTCAGTGCAGTCATTTATCGTGATACGTATCGTATTGTGACTTTGCTGGTGATACACAGCCCTAATATTTATATCATATTTATATGCATTACAAAAGTCGCAAATGGCAATCACAAGGGATTGTTTAGTTGTTGTTGTTTCCCCTAATAAAAAAAGGTATAACAGAGGGCTGCTGTTTGCCAGCTTTAAACATCTGGCCATCAGAAGACATTTTTAGAAATCTAACATTGTAGTTAAGCATAATATGACACAATTTAAATATTAAGTATGTTAAATCTAAAATATATGTAAAACAATGAATTCCAGTCATTTTCTATGATATAGTAAATTATTTACTATCATTTATATAATTTACTATATCTTACACCATATAGGCCTATGGTTCTACTGGCAGTAAATCTTTTACCAAATATGTAAATATTCACCAAATGTCCAATGTCATTGTACTGGAACATATCAGCTTTATCAAGCATGTTGCAGTTAAGAGACAGACGAATGAGCCTCGAAACTCTGAAATAGATTATTTGGAAATTAATAGCTCATATTAATCACACTTGCACATGTATCAGTGTTTGTGTCGAGTCTTCAGGTTGTTCGAGAATCATTAGAATCTGCTGTAGATCTGTATCTTCAGGTTGCTGTGGGTGTTTCTTACTTCCATAAGTAAGTACCTTTAATAGGCCTATAAGAATGCATTAATAATATTAAAAACTACTTACGGGAAAAGAGCATTATGATATTTTTACAAAGTGCTTATGTTTTACATATGGAGTCATGTTACATTTAATTGCAACTCACCAATCATCCCAATGACCAGAACAACACTGATCAGACCAAACACAAGAGAAATAGTCTGAATAAGAACAAAATCTAAATTACAAAAAGAAAATTAATAATTCTTAAATGAAATTAATCATCAATTGGTAAATAAAACATACATGATAAGATAAATAACTAATGAAATATTGAGTTAAAAACTCAAAAAAAGTTTTTGGAAAACCCTAAAAAAAACCCTACAGATTATATTTATGGGTTGTATGGGTTCAGAAATATTTTTGATATTTGAATACCAACTAACCAAAGTACAGTTTTTTGTTTTGATTTACAAAAAGTAGGCAGCTAAAGCTAATATCATAACACGGCTGACAGAGTTGGCTGATGTCCAGATGTTTGGTCTGGTTGCTGATGTTGTTGTTCAGCACACAGCTGTAGGTGTTTTTATCCTGATGTTCCACCTCCAGAGGTAAAGAGAGACTGATGCTGAGATCAGACACACTGATGCTGGAGATTAAACTGTTTCCTTTGTACCAGGAGAGAGTCACATGACTCACATTCAGCACTGAACACAGCAGTGAACATTTAGACACTGATGAACTTCCAGACGATGAAGAACATTGTGAAGTGTCTCTGATTATGACAGGAATGGGAATGAATGGGGGATGAAGAGAAATCAGAATAAATAAAATCAAAAGCAAGCACACATTTTCAGATTGATATTCTCAGTCAAAGCTTATTGAGAGCAAAGCTTTGACTGAACACACACAGAAAAGAGTACTAGCAAATCTAACTAATGTTTAATTCTGTGAGTGATTGTGACAAATATTTATCATGTCAAATCTGTAGAGAGTAGACCAAACCCTGCTGCTGTACTCACCATAGACAGTAACATTAAACGTTTTGACTACTACTGGATCATGGATGTATTTATATATTCTGTGGAAGGCGTAGGATCAAGAAATGTTCGTCCAATCAAAACGCTCGGTCAGAGCGTTTTAATATGCTTTCCTACCTGCCTGTCAACGTATGTATTAACATACCTCTGCGCACCCTGTTCGCGCAGACAGGATACGTCATCAGTGCATTCACGTACGCTGTGTGTGTAGACAGAGCGAGGATGGCAGGCAAACATCAACAACCCGATCTTCCTTCCTGGTATTGTAGTACTTTTATAGTTTTCTCACCGGTGAATGACACATGATGTAGCCCAGCGGTTAATCTAGTCCTCGCGCCAGCTTGTTAGAAGTGAGCTACGTGCATGAACTGTGTTCCAATCGATATGATCCCTACACAGTGTTCATTGCTCCCTACTCCCTGAGCAGGGGAAATCCGTTGAAGTTTACTTCACTTCGGAACATGGGCTGGAATTGGGAACCGCTGATGTAGCCTATTGTAGTAATGTTGTCTCTGGTCTGTGAGCGTAAATGTGTTCAGGGGGCGTGGCTTTGGACGGCGATTGCAGGGAGGGTGGGACGTTCGCTTTCAGTGCTATCAGGCTAAAGTTAGCATTTTGCAAGAACTCCTACTGCACCTTTAAGTAATTTTTTTACTATGCTGATGTATTTAAAAAAAAACATCAGTGTTGATAGTTTTATGTCTTTATTTGACTGTACACCTGTTTTGTTTAGAGAAGGTTGGATGTGAGGTTCATATTGATGGACACTACACCTGCAAACCAACCACACACATCCATTAATAGACACACTATCAGGAACAAGTACTATTTGTTCATACAACAGAATAAACCACATTCATCTAGTTCAGCTTGTGCTACACTAACCTAAATAAAGCTCAGACCACAACATGTTTCTGTTTGACTCACAAACTAAGCTGGTCATGACGGTGCCTTCATATTTATGTCCAAAAAAAAAAAAAGTAACTTTTGCACTTTTCTGAAAGAACTGGCAAAATCTGAACTGCTCAGGTGTATTTACAATATTTTACCATATTCTTTATAACCTTGCTGAATATTTGAATATCTGAATATTTAGCATTAAAATGTATCAAGATGAGTCAATAAATAGACGTTTGATAACTAAGTTCATCAATTTCATCAGATGAACTGTTCAGTTCATCAAGAAATACAAAGATATATGTCTTTTCTCCCCTGGATCTTGATGTCTTGAACTAAAGCAGTAACAGTAGCCACGCCCACCAGAGCACATATGACCAATCAGATCACAGCTTCAACCTTGATCATTTAAAACTCTAAATTGTCAGACCTAAACTATTGAACAGACTCAAAATGTCTGTCAGGATACCAACCGTAAGTGAAAGTAAGCATGCGTGTATTTGTGTTTGTCCATCGGAATAAGTTCAAGATGATTTCTACAAGCTATATGATAATTAAACTTAATAAATGAAGTACTGGAATGGAAACATCTCTTTTTTGTGTATATCAAATAGGCTATCTAACGTTACAAAAACACATTAAAGTGGTTTAAACATTGACATAGGTGCACTTTTATAGGTGGTTGATACTTTTTAGTAAGTACATACATTGACTTTTCAGTTGAAGTCCAGTACAAAGGTTACTATAGAACACTAATGATATGTTGTAACATGCGGTTGAAAACTCCCTATAACAATAACGTCTCTGTCCTGGCAGCTTATCAGAGTCACATGATTGCTGAGCAATGGCATGTTATTCGATACTGCACTGCTCTTACATTTGTAAGGTTGTATAGGTTTAAATGTACAGTACAAGTCAGTTTTAGACCACCAGAGTTGAAATGACATTTAAATACAGTTTTAAATGATTTCACCTTATAAGGCACATTTGTATTCTATGTATATCTTCACAAATCCATGGCCCATACTATGAATTAGTCATGTTTTCCAGAATAATTCCTCCTTACATATACAAAGCTGATTAATGTATATTTATGTATTGGGTCAGAACCACATTTAACTCTTATTGCAATTTATAAAGCAGTTCTTGAAATGTTTAGTTTCCTCTAAGACCATTAAACAGTGTTTATTGTAGCAAACATTTGCTGGACTAAATTTAGAGACCCTGTTCACCTACAATGTTTCTCTTTCTTCTTTCTTTCAGTCTTGTAATCTAATAACTGAAGACCTAGTGTCATTTATTTCTGTTGTGTTGTGTACAGCATTACCACCCATAATGATCAAGATCTTTTTATTCTATAGTGTGTTTAATTTTGTTTCTGATCTTTCCTTATAAATTATACACCTGATTTTTTTTGTTTTGGAAACGCCCCATTTATAAAGAAAGGAAACTTAAGAAGGCGGCTTGTCAGGGCACATTTCAGTGGTTAGAGTGCACCTATGTTACCTGTACAGTATTCTTTCACTTTCAGTTAAAGCTGAAATTAGGACGATTGCCATGTTTCTTTGTAGACATCGCCTGATGCCAATTTGGTAGACATTGCCCAACCCAAATGGGTGTTGTCCAGTTTACGTTCTACCTGACAAAAGAAGTCTGTTCCTGTCTTTCCACTCACAAGGTCAGAAGCTGCTGTCATCAACACAGGTGTGAATGAGATCTAAAGATCCAGCTAAGGAATCAACCTTCCACGTCAGTTTCGGACTGCACAGGTGGTCCAACAAAGAAAATATGAATAGCTCAATGTTTCCAAGCCTTGTGTTTCTAAATTTATCGTTGCTGATCTTCACAAATGGTAAGATTAGATTTTATAGCTTTGTCCTTTCTTTCAATTTAAGAACCGCGTGCAGTGATCAATCTGTAAGTTTGTGGATTTAAATTAACTCGTGATCTAGGATTCAAAACATGAGCTGAAATGTGTGTGCGCACGATTTGTAATGAGAGAAATTCAGTTTCTGAATTCTCTATTTTTGCAGCCATGATGGTTTATAATTACAAAGCTGTATTTCACAGATATGCACTGTGACATGCTTCAGAAAACTTCTGCAGAATAGAAATATTTTGTGTGTTGAATTGGACCTTACTGATTTGCATTGTATGGACAAACACAGTTGAAACGTACTTTAGAATATTGTCTTTTTTTCCAGAGAAGATGGAAATTCTTGGAATGACCCGAGGGTTTGTCAAAGATGACACATGAAAGAACTATCTGTTTAAAAATGTACTATCAGTTTAAAATACAAACATGAGACCAGTAGAGCAGGTTTTCTGGTCCTTTCAAAAACTACGTCTCTTTCTCGGAAAGGCTGCCATTATCCTGAGGGTGTGGCACTGTGTTGGCAGTTGGCACTGTATGTTTGTTTATCATTAAACAGTGTTTTCTGTGTGACCTACACGCACTGTTCTACACTGGGGGAAAAAAAGATTTTTGATGTTGTAAATAAAAGAAAGATCACTTGAGTAATTTTACAAAAACATTTACAGCTGCAAAAACATCATGCATTTAATACAATTTGCTATTTGTCGTTTCTTTGTAATTATTTGTGAAATTTACTACTGTAGCCATTTCTGTGAAAACTGTTTCAAAGCCAGTTTCTTTAAGTGAACATAAGATTAGATTGTTTTTTTTAGTTGATCAAAATGAAGATGTTGTTTTAAACTGCAAGCACTACATCTAATGTCATTCTTTTTCACTAATTGATAAACCTAACCGTAAACCTTTTTATATTGTATAAAGAATTATTATTATGTTTTTTTACAAATTATAGTATGTTCTTCTAGTATGTTTTCTATTAATTTTCTCAAATGTTTCCCAGCCTACTGACATCCTTGAACACTCGTTTTTATTTACATAGTTTGTCTTTATCCTATAATTGCAACATTATGTGGGATCAGGGATGGCTAAAGTAGTTAGTATAATTTAACAATTATGGAGAGTATAGTGTGAGTAAAACCATAATAAATCCTTACACACACACACACACACACACACACACACACACACACACAAAACAAAACAAACAGACAATAGTTTTATCATTACTGTCATCATGTCAATGTTAATCATGTAATCTTACACCTGGAAACCATTGTTTTTGTTCACTAGGTGTATTTGGTGTTGAGACAGAAGATGTGTGGGGGATGGAGGGGGATCCTGTCACGCTACACACAGGGTTTGAAAAACAGAAAGATGATCTGATAGTATGGTATTACGGACCTGAAAAAACTCTAGATGTCCAAATCAATGGAAAGGCCAGTAAAACCATAATAGCTGATAGGGTTGCTGGCAGAGTGCAGGTGGATGGTCAGACTGGATCTCTCACCTTCACAAACATCAGAACCACAGACTCTGGACTTTATAATCTTAAGATCAGCAGCAACAATAGGGTTTCATACAAGAGATTCAGTGTTTCGGTCTATGGTGAGTATTTCAATTTCAGTGACCGTGATACATTACAAATATATTATGAATGAATAAACAAACAAATCAATCAATCAATCAATCAACTCTACATAAGGGAACACCAAACAAACACCACTCATCAAACAACAGGAAAAAGTAGTTCATTTGCTGAATATGACAGATTCAGAAACATTAGTTTTTGATGAATTTTTCCTTTTAAAATTTTAAACATTTAGAAGTAAGACACTGTATGAATACATTAGATTTTCTGTTTTCGTATCTTCCTGCAGTCTAATATGAAGAAACAATCTTTTCTCTATCGTATTTTAGATCATCTTCCCGTTCCTGTCATCATCAGAGACACTTCACAATGTTCTTCATCGTCTGGAAGTTCATCAGTGTCTAAATGTTCACTGCTGTGTTCAGTGCTGAATGTGAGTCATGTGACTCTCTCCTGGTACAAAGGAAACAGTTTAATCTCCAGCATCAGTGTGTCTGATCTCAGCATCAGTCTCTCTTTACCTCTGGAGGTGGAACATCAGGATAAAAACACCTACAGCTGTGTGCTGAACAACAACATCAGCAACCAGACCAAACATCTGGACATCAGCCAACTCTGTCAGCCGTGTGCAGGTACATCAGAGATGATACTAGTGTTATACACTGAGTTGATCTCTGTCAGTCATGTATTTAATAAATGTGGATTTAAATCATGTAATAATTTCATTATTACTTAGAACTGAATGATTGATTATCTGCAGGCAGGCAAGGATTGGTAGAAGCAGGAGCTACATGCGACAAGGTTTATTAAAGCAGCACTGTATAACTTTTGGCGCTCTAGCGGTTAATAAACAGAACTGCACGCATCCCGCGGAAGAACATTCCAACCGGAGCTACTTCTCTAAGTTTATGTCTATGGCGATTCACGCAGGTATGTGTTACTCCGCAGCGGTGACGACCCGACCAGGCTACAATAGTCCATATATAAGTACTTATTATAAGTGTACCGTAGTGATTCGGAATAAGACAAAAACGCGGGTTGGAAGATGAATTCATGATGTACTCGCTCTTTATATACATTTTGCAAATTTTGAACACAGAAACTTTAACACTTTGCTTTAACACTGCAAGAAGAAAATAATCCAAAAGGCAGTGAGACAAGTGAACTAAGACAATAACCAACCCAGACAGTGGAAACTAGGCAGTATATGTACACAGAACAAAACAATGAGCTAAACACAGATGAACATAATGAGTAACCATGGAAACAAACTAACTAAGAACAATAAAAAACCTAGGAAACCAATATCCACCTTTTTCTTCAACACGGAAGTAAGCCTATGGGTGAGACTTCCGGTTCATTAGCCACTATAGGTACATAACGAGGAGAATAATCTGCAGTAAACGGTAAAACTGTTTGCACTACAAACCAGTGTGTTCATAATTAAGATAATACATTAAAATAATATGATAAGACACACCAACTTTCAATATCAAGCAGCAAAACGAACTATTTTGTTCAGCTAAAAATAGCTGGACGGAGTGGACACAGATGAGACCGGAAGCCACCAGACCCATAGAATTTACAAATGGCCGCGCCCATTTTTACGACAAGAAAAAGGTGGATAAGAGCACTAGAAACACAGGCAACTAAGGACACAGGAACTATAAACTCAGAAACAAAATGAACATCAAATATATTTGAGCCCATGCAGCCCATTTTTCATATCCACATGATCATTAATAGTAATTTTATTATATATATTTATTTATTTATTTATCATGTATCTTTAATTACATATTGCCATATGGACAGTCAGTCAGTAATCATTAATGTATATCTGACCAACTTAAACAAAACACGTTTTCAAGACGAGTGTGATTTCAAGACGGATGTCTCTGAAACGAACTACTTGTCTAATGAAGTCAGAATAAGGTTGTTTGAATTAAACCCCACTTTGTATCCCGTGTTATTATTATTATTTTACTTACACATTAGGCCAAAAGAGACTACTGACTGTGTCATAGGAAGTAAGTTAACACTTTATTTTCAGGTGGCATACAGTAGTTACACATGTACTTACTTCGGTAATAACAATAAATGATGCATAATTATAAGCAACAAACCCTAAACCAAACCCTATTCTTAATCCTACATTAACTAGTAATTTAATATTACACATTACTAATTTGTGTTATTATTGTGTAATAATATCATCTTAAAATAAAATGTAACCGGAAGTAATTGTCAGCCGGTTCCGATGAGTGACCAGTCGCATCCCTAATAGCTACTGTACTTTTAGGTTCTTAATGTAGTTCATATCAGTTTTTGTTTTTCTTTGTCTTTTAGGTTCTTACTTTCCAGTGTTTTTAATTCCAGTGCTGCTTTCTGTAGTAATAGTACTAGTGATCGGAGCTGTGATATGCTTCAGGACAAAGAGAGGAGGATATCAAAAAGGCAGGTCTTATGAAAACTAAACATTTTTCACGTCTTTCTAATATCTCCCAATGATTGAAAAAAGAAAACATCATTATGTGTCATTCTGGATTTCAGCCAACTTGATGCAATTTGGATACACTGAAACCATCACAGAAGCTCTGACCGTCAAAGAAAGCAAACACAAAATCCAGCAACAAGTTTGAAGATGCAAACACAGGGATTCATGGATTCTAGCTATGGTTGTTTTTTTCTTTCCTCTCTTCATTGATATCACTTATCTCCAGCAGCCTGAATCATTTAAATTTTTCTAATCTCTGAAATGTTCTAATAAATAGATCATTTTTCCAGTAGGTAAAGCCGAATCTAAAGGGATAGTTCACTCAGAAATTAAAATTCTGTCATCATTACTCACCCTCATGTCGTCTCATACCTGTATGAGTTTCTCTCTTCTGGTGAACACAAAAGAAGTCTATACAGTGGAAGTCAATAGGAACCATAACGGTTTGGTTACCAATATTCTTCAAAATATCTTCTTTTATGTTCAACAAAAGAATGAAAGTCATACAGATTTAAAATGACATGAGGATGAGTAAATTATGACAGAAATTACATTTTTTGGCTGAAGTAAGCTTCAACCTTTTAAGGCTTTAATCTGAATGGTTATAAAAAGAAAGTCGCAATAAGTTAGGAACAATGAAAAAAGAGGAAATTTTATTTGCAAAAGAAAACAATTATAGCTAGACTAATCTAAGCCTGTCTACTAAAGTGGTGCAGGGACAACACACTTTAGGTGAACCCTAAAGTGTAATAAGTGGTAAATTCCTTCGATTCCTGGGGCTTTCTTGTTTGGCAGATATTTCTTAGCCTATGCAAGTTCCAAAATAATGTGTAAACCATGCCATATAGTCGATTCATCAGCTATATGCCGGTCCCAAGCCCGGATAAATGGTGAGGGTTGGGGACAGCAATGGTGAACGACTCTGTAAAAAAATGTTCGCCAAAAACTTGCAGGGTCTGAGCAACAAATCTTCAGCCAAAATTAGACAAAACTAATTGGATACTAAATTGCTGGCTGCCGATAGTGAACAACAATGTATGGGAGAGTCCTATTGAGTAAAGCTGAGAGTTTTAATTTTAAGCAAATTGCAGTAGATTATCTATCAAACTGCCATTTTCATAAGCTCTTGAATCCTGTAAGACTGTACTTAAATATAATTCCCCATCCTACACATGAAAAGAAAAAAATGCAAAAAAAAAAAAAGAAGAAATCTGCAAAAATAGAAAAAGAAATCATAAAATTACTGTCAACAGATCACTTTATTTGTTGGTGTGGTTGGCAAATAAATGTACTTTTTATTTTCGAACTCTTCTGTAATCAAGGGGAATTTTTTAATTTGCTGATTTTATTACTTTGAAGAGTGATATAGTTAAAATTTTAATATGAGCATTTGATAAATGTCTCCTTACAAACATCTTATCACAAGTGATGAAATGATTACTAGCATAATGAGTTAATGCTTTATAGTTAAGGCAAGACACTCCAGGTGTAAACATTATTTTTTATGCCTTGTCAATTTTGATCTGGGCCATTTGGGCTATTCCACAGCATGTTGTTTCAGACAAGTGGAAAGAAAACAACCAAAATAAACTTTTAAATATTTATTTTATTGCACTTTATATATTTGTATGTATAGATTTAAATTACAACACATTTCTTTAAATGTTTTTTCTCAAAATGATTTTTTCCCCCCTCATGCACTGACCCAGAAATGTCCACTTTGGTAGCACTTACATACACCCTTTACAGAAGGGTTTGTTTTAGATTATGATTTATTTTCACATTATTATATTTATTACTTGCCACAATATTTTCAATTTTTGTAATAAGAAGTGATATCTAAAATCTCCTATGTAAAAATCTGTAACTCTAATATGTCGACAAAATGAAACAAGAAATGTAAATCTTCATCCAAAGTTCAGATTTCTGCTCTGGAAATGTATACAATTTAGTGCATATTTAATTACATAATGCCTCATTTGCATATTTAAACATTACATTTAAAAAACCTTTAATACAAAAATGTTTGCAATTCTTAGTGTTATCAGTCAATTGAGGAAGCGGTGATATTTGTTAATTTTTTACCCTATTTGCTTGGGGTGTCTTGCCTTAAAAATTATATAACCAGGGCCAGTGTTGTGGCCCCTTATATTTTTCTAACTCATTTAACATATTTAAATGAATTCAAAGTATGTTCAAATTATTGTATTTTATCATGTATTTTAACTAAATAAAAATGACAAACTACAGTTGGTGTGTGTTTACTTTTTGTGAAAAAAAAAAAAAAACCTAGCATGTGTGCATCTGTTATTGGTTGTGGCAGCATATGCATGCAGAGTGAGGCCCCGTTATTAGCAACAACATTTCATAGATCTGTAATGTGGTGTTTTGTTTCATGTTCATGTTTTCCATGTCTTTTATTTTGTAATTGTTTCATGGTCCCTGTTTGTGTCATGCTTCCCTTGCCCTCATGTATTCATAACATTGGTTCCCCTGTTCATTGTGTCATGTTCTGATTGGTTGTCTTAGTCATGTGTCTTGTTTCCCATTGGTTTGTTCTTGTCATGTGACCCTCTTGTTTCCTATAAGTAGCTTCATGTTCCCATTGTGCCCTTGTCGTGTATTGAATGCATTTATCCCGCTGTTGGTGAGTCTAGTCTGTTCATGTCAAGTCTGTTCATGTCAAGTCAAGTCTGTTCATGTCAAGTCAAGTCTGTTCATGTCAAGTCAAGTCTCGGATTATGTTTGGATGTTTGGATCACTGTAAATAAAGCTGCACTTGGGTTCTCACTTCAACTCGCCTTCAGTGGATGATTCGTTACAAGATCATGTAAATTAAACATGGATATTAGAAAATTGCTTGTTGGTTCTGCTTCTGCAAGGCGTTCTTCAGATTCAGAATGTATTAGTACTCTGCCTTCTCATACCGCGCTGAGAAGGCAGAGTGCAACACTCAATTTTCCAGTAAGTTATGAATGGGCTTGACCTGTATGACCTTTAAAAACGCTGACATGTCCGAGGACCACAACCCCAACAACATCATGGCTACATCACTCTACTCGCCCCTCCGCTGACAGCTGGTGTGTGGTGGGCTTTCTTGTACACTACTGCAGCAAAAATTACAGTAACAACTCCTGTACAAACTCCTGGTTAAAATCCATTTAATTTCAAATGATAAGTGTATAAGTCATCAGAAGAAAACATACATTAAAATACCAAGTCACAACACACTTACAAAAAATATCACAAATAAATGCATATTTTAAATAAAAATAATAAATATTTAAAAAATAATATATAAAACAAAGAAACACAGTTACTATGAGCAAAACATAATTAATGAGGAATCAGAATGTGATTATCTCACGATGCCTGCGTACACTACCTCATCCTCTTGTTTAACGCTCTGAAAAAAACAACAACACAACTTTTGTATAATATATACTGCTTTTTTTTTTTTAGAATTAATCATACTAAAAATGTTACATACCTCAAGTACCATTAACCATTGATAAAAGAAACAACAAAAAATCCACACAAATAACAAGAGCTGTCTGAAACTGGAAAAGTTATATAATTTTTTTTTGCACATTAACTGTAATTTTGCCACCAATTAAAGAAGTCATATGATGTTGCTAAAAATAACATTATTTTGTGTATTTGGTGTAATGAAATGTGTTTATGCGGTTTAAGGTTCAAAAAAACACAAGTGTTGTAAATACAACTTAACCACTGATTTCTAGTCGTGTCCTCTTTTGGAAGGCCAAACAAAGTAGTTTCGCTTCTACTTTGCGAAATTCTATTCGCGAAACACACAGCGTCACACACAGCGGGCTTGAGTGAGCGGAGGCTTGAGAACAGCGCGGCCGGCGGGCTAGAGTGAGGAACGGCTGGCGGG